CTCGCATTCCTCGCCCGCCGCCACCGCGGCGACTGCGTCCGCAGCACCACGAGCATCGACCCGACAGCCAAGAGGTCCAACAGCGCCAGTCCCAAGAAACAGTAACCCCAGCCCATTAGCTGAACGAGCGGGCCCACCACCACCGCCGCGACCGCCGCGCCGGGACTGCGCAGCATGTTGCCCAGCGCGAACGCCCCCGCGGCCTGCTGAGCCACGCACAGCGTAAGGAAGCTGTTAGAGGCGACGAACATCCACGACATGCCGAATCCGACTACAGGATGTAGCGTTAGCAAAAGGAACTAATGTGCAAAGAGCCTCGGGCCCAGAGGTCTCCACATACCTAGGAAAGTCGCAATCAGAGTCGCCGCCGGATGAATGGAGTAGCACACGAAGAAGCCGAACGAGATCAGCCCGACCAACGCGACCCCAAGCCCCCAGATCTGGTCATTAAGACGCATCTCGGGTGTGACGCGCTGGGCACCCAGCTTTTGCTCGAGACGCGCACGCTGCCAGTCGGAGAAGCGGCCGCTGGCCACGGAGCCGATGATCATGGCGACACCAACAACAACATAGCCGGCGCCGACGGCGCTCGTGGACCAGCCGTAGACGCCCTCCAGAGCGGAGGGCAGCTGGATGGCAATGCAGAAGTAGGAGGAGTAGAGCAACGCTGTGTTGACACAGGCGATGCCGATCGGGGGGTAGGAGAACAGTCGCCAGTAGACGTGCAGAGTGGGCTTCGGTGGCAAGGGGCCCCGTGCGCTCTCCTCTGCTTCGGGGGACATCCATCGCGGCGGCCAGAGGAGCCAGTTCTTGTCAGCGTAGAGGCTGCCGTTGCCCACACGGGCTCGCAGGGTTTCAGGGAGGAAGAAGAGTAGGGCTAGCCACAAGGCCGCACCAGAGATGGCTGTAGAGAGAGTTATGGTATTGGTAATCTGCCACACAAGCACAAGGTGTCGTGAGGCCATACCTAGGAACCCAAAGATCCATCTCCACGAGGTATTCCCCGCTATGGCGCCGCCGATCAAGGGTCCGAAGATTGGCCCACACTGCGGGCCGAAGAGAAAGTACGACATCGCCCGTCCGCGCTGTTTAGGCTCAGTGATCTGTTGGAGGATAAGGAGATTTAGTCAGTGGACCAGGTTTCTTATAACGGCAATAATTTCCTACATCTGCGACTGTTCCTGCGCCCAGTGAGACCACCGCCGCTGATCCAAACGCTTGAACGATGCGCAGAACGATGAGAGCTCCATAGCTGGCCGGGATCACGGCCAGCAAGATGTTAGCCGCAATGTAGACTAAGAGTGAAGACAGGTAGAGAGGCCGTCTGCCCCCATGATCGGCGAAGCTGGACCAGAAGAGGGGCTGGTTGGTGGATTAGCAGTCCATAAATGTACGGCAAAGGAGATTTCCGACGCACCCCAAAGGCAAACACCACCATAAACACCGTCACCGTCACATTGATCTCGGTTGCGGTCACATGAAAGGCATCTTCGAGGACCGGCAAGATCGGGAGATAGATGTTGCCAGCAAAAGGCCCGAAGAACCCTGCAATAGTAACCAAGGTGAGAACAAGGCGTTGCCGCCGTGGCGACAGGACGGTGTACGGAGGGGGTTGCGGTCCGATCTCGGCTACTGGACAATTCTCCTGGGCGCTTGCAGAGACAAGGTCGAGGGGAGCAGGCGATTGCGGTTGGGATAGGACCTGTACCTCTTCTTGTTGGTGTTGCTTTTTGTCGGACATACTGGCCTGGTCGAAGGTGGTCCAAGGGGAAGGTGAAAGAGGGAGGAGGGGTGGGCTACTCTCTTCGCTAGCCCTAAAAATGCTTGGGGTCACTCAATTTCTACCCTTGACTAGGCCCCATGGCTGAAAAATGTCCTCTAATACTTCTTTTCAATCACCACTCAGGTGCCAGTCAGCCTCTCTGACCATCGCCTCCACGGAGTATGGATTTGTTGAAGGAGCGAGCGTCACAATTCCGGACACTGGCGAGGCTAATCCAGGCTGAGTGGGGCAGCTGCAGGATCGGAGTGCCATGCATCCCTCGTGATTATAAACCGCGCAAATTTGCTCAACTAGTGGCTCGCAGCCAAGAACACGACTGGTAAAATCTTCTCATAATAGCGCGAGAGGCTAGATAGATGTGATGGCTGGCTACCCAGCAACACATATTGGCCAGCTCATGCGGACGCGCCGTAATGGCGACGACCATGGACTTGGCACAACAACTGGAGGCTACTAGCAGGGATGTTTTTTTCTCTCAATTGCATGAGCTAGATTGCGTGGAGAGGGACAGAGTCACCATCGGCAAAAGCCCGTCTGTGGCATTATATCAACCAAGCAGATGTCTAGACTCGAGGGTTTGTTGTGACCTGATTTCTTTATTCTCAACATCACTTGCTGCACCTTCGCCCGTCACCTGCCATAATGTCCCACCACCACGAATCTCCCGAGCACACCGTGTCCGATCCTCGCGATCATGACAGTGACAAAGGCGTCCTGGCTACCCAAACTGCCGTCGAGGGAGATGTCGAAGCTCGCGAGCAGCAATCGGCCAGCGACGGGGTTTTCAACTCCAAACGCGCGCTGTGGGGGTTTCTCGTGCTCTGCTTCTCGGTAGGACCAGCCCTGTCAAGTCCCTCTGGCTGGGGTGCTAATATTGGATTTGAGTAGACTGGACCAGTATCGGGAATGTCGTCGACGTATGCGTCGGCGGCCATTCTCTCGGCGGCCAACGTCCTAGGGCACCAAGCAGGGACCAACAAGCCGTGTCCCCGACGTGGCACGAATATCAACTGCGTGGTCAAGTTCGGCGCCGGCGAGATTGACTATGCCAGCTACACGTAAGACTGTCCCCTGGACTTCCCCTGCAAACCCGTTGCTGAACAACATGACAGACTGTACCTCCGTGCGATCAGCCGCGCCACTGAGGGCGTGTTGGCGATCATCACTGCCGGGATTGCGGATTATTCCGGTATGTACCTGTGGCAATGGAGCACGCAATTACTGGAGTTGTGGCTAATGAGGAGGCGTAGACTACCGCAAAACCATGATGATGACCTCGATCTTCCTCTTCGGCGTCCTGGCCCTCCCCTTCGCGGGGCTCACAGGGGAAAACTACAGCCATCTGACGGCACTGTCGGTCCTGTACTGCGCTCTCACCACTGTGCAGGGCATTTACACCGTCATAGAAGGCTCCTACATCCCGATCTTCATGCGCTCAACGGGCTGGTTCCGGACGTCGGTGGTGGGCCGCAGCGACAACAGCACCGAAGGCCGGATCTGGCAGAAGGGTGTGTCAGTTAGTGTGCTGGCGCTGGTCTCGAGCAACGTCGGGGCTCTGGCGGCGCTGATCATCGGCATCATCCTCGTCTATGGTCGAGGGTCCTACGTTGCCGTGGGCTACTTCAACTACCTTCTCGCGATCACCATTGCGGGATGCATGACAAGTGAGCATTGCCCCCTCCCCTTCCTTCCCCACGCAACCGCCAACCTCTAACCAACCCACCATCTAGTCCTCTTTGCCATCCTTGGCCACTGGCTCCTCCCTAACGTGCAAGGCAAGAAACTGGAGCGGCCGCGCGACGCCCTCACCCTTCCTATCCGCAACTGGGTGCGCCTCATCCGACACGCCCCACGCTACTCGGAAGCCTTCAAGCTGTGTATCGGCTGGGTCCTATGGAACACGGGGTACAGCAACCACCTTTCCATCATCGGCTCACTCTTCCTTCAAGTGACCGGCATCTCGCGCAGCTCCGGGGTGTACTCAGTGTGGTCATTCATGAGCGTGATTCTAGCGTGTGTAGGGAGCCTGGGCTTCATGTTCATGTACCCGCGGGTGCGCCTACCCGTGAAAGCCTGGGCGTACACGCTGCTGGTCATCAACATCCTGTGCGTGCTGTGGGGTTGCATCGGCATGAGCCCGCACGTCACCATTGGCTACAAGCACGGCGCCGAGTTCTGGGTCGAGCAGGTGCTGTTTATGTCGACCAGCAGCGCCCTGCGCGCCTACAACCGGGCAATTTACTCCTCGCTGATCCCGCGCAACGCCGAGGCCCAGTTCTTTGGGTTGGAAATTACCCTCGATTTGGCTACGGGGTGGATCAACCCGCTGGTGATGGGGGTGATCCAGGATCGCACTCATAATTTGCGGTTTCCGATGATCCCCAATTTGTTGCTCATGCTGGTGGCGCTGGGGTTCTACTACTCGGTTGATATGCGCAAGGGCATCGATCAAGCGAGGATACCGCTGGAATATTAGGCGGAAGCAGAGGGAGGGCTTTTAAATTGAGGCTCTGTAAGGCTTCATGGTGCAGAGCTCGATCTAATGCGGCTGGGAGGTGTTGCGGCTGGGAGCCATTTTGCCCTATGACAGAGGAATTAGATGCCATGATTGGAATTCCATGAGTAAGGAGTACAGACTATAGCTAGGATAGACTCTAGGGCCGGACATACTGATTCTGGGTCTAATGCAACCCTCCGAATCCGCATGGGATGGTTCGGTCAACACAAATTCTCACTACCACTATTTGTGGGCTATCACTTCCACAGTCCTGTCAAAACAAAAGGATTAGGCCAGATCCCCACAGAAAGAACAAGTCACGACAAGATGATATGACATCGTAAGCAGCAAGCACTACTCCTTCGGGAAGCACTCCGTAGTCTGCCAACGTGCCCAGAACTAAACTACAGTAACTAACTACTACACAGCAGCGCACTCTCAAGCAAAACCCGACTATATTTGTCCAAATAAACGATTGCCAAGCCGCTACCAGAAGAAGGTGTGGCTCGAAGTAAAAGCCTTCGAAGCTCACGAGCAAAAGGCCAGTAGAAGGGGGTCTGTGCAGCCCGAGTCATACAATGCTCAAAGTCTCTCCTGGCTACCAGCACCATTACCCCCACCCCCATCCCCCACCCACTGTTCACTTCGTGCCCCTAGACAGGGAAAACTGCCCTTTGATTGCCCCTCATGTCTTACCCTAGTCCAGAAATGCCCTTTCCCTCACTCCTGGTCGCACCGACTGAACACAAGCCGCAAGCCGCGAGGGTGTAGGGGTCCCGCCTGAATCGTAACCTCGGATATTAGCCAGATGAGCATTTTTGCTGTCTAGGAGGAATCGCCCTGAAAAGGACGTCATAGTCCAAACCACGAACACAACAAAAACAGAAGAAATATAAATCTCACCGGCACCATCCTGGGGACCCAGCTCTCATCCAATCTCCAGGTCAGCCTATGAAGCAATCCCACGAGCAGGATGCGCATCTGGAGCATGGCGAATTTCTCGCCGAGACAGGCACGCGCCCCACCGTGAAATGAAATAAATTCCGCCCTCGCTTTGGCCCGACGGTACGTCCGCGAAATTTCCTGGTCGGTCGAGCCCCAGCGAGTCGGCTGGAACTCGTGGGCCGAGGGACCCCACGCCTCCTCGTCGCGGTTGGTCGCGTAGCTGTGATACCCCACACACATGCCCTCAGGGAGCTCGATTTCGTGGCCGAGCTGGGTAGGTTGGGCCACCTGTCGGTTGATCAGCTGTGAGATCGGGGGGAAAAGGCGCAGGGATTCGAGTATGACGGCCGTCAGATAAGGCAGTCGGGTCCAGTCTGGATGCGTTGCTGAAATTGTTGTCAGGCCAGAGGAGCGGATTTCTTCGCGGAGGCGCGACTGGACATCCTGTGTGTAATACGCTTGAGTAAGATAACGGTAATTTCTGATATAATAGTATGCATCGAGCCTCGTCTCAGGGTTTCGGAAGTGGGTGTGGGAGGGGCCGTACCGGATACTTGGCCAGCAGGTACAGGGTTGAAATCATCAGTAACTGCGGGTTTTCCTGTCCCGCCACATATAGAACCATCAGGTTATCGCGGAACTCCTTGTCAGACAGATTTCCCTCGCGCCAGGCCTGCGCCAAACGACTGCCGAGGCTGCTTTCAAAGCGGTGCTGGCTGTCAGCGCCGTCCCGCAGGATCGTGGACTGCAGCGCGGCGGCGAAGCTGCGCACCAGCTGGCGGGCCCGTATTCGAGAAGGAATCAGCGCACTCAACTGATCCAGGACCGGGAAACTCATGAACAGAGGCCGAAACAGATACCGTTTGAGGGTAAGCTGCAGCTGGTGGAGGGGCGGCGCAGGCTGGTCCCCCATCATGGTTCGCGCAACCTCCGGCTGGCCCAGCACGCAATGCAGGAAATTGGCACTCGAGTACCGCTGCAGGACCTCCTGCACGACGACACCATATGACCCACGCGCCTTCTGCAGGTGGAGCAGCCATTTGCAGAGCTGCTGGGTATGTTCCACCAGTGGTTCGACGGCAAGCGCACTGGGCAATAGGCCGGGTTGCACCACGTTGCGATATCGCCTCCACTCCTCGCCACGCGCGGAGATGATGTTTGATCCTGCGTGAGATAAATCTGCTCAATATTGCGCATGAATAAGGCGGGAGACAGAAAAACAAGCTAAGGGACCAAGAATCCGAGACTAACTCACCTAAGAACTCGGCCAAGACACTGTGTGGAATCTTTTTCTGATTGCCCCTCTTGTGGTAGATGTCCTCTCGTTTGAATATCTCCGCAACGAGCGATGGCCGCTGCACGAGTACGTTCCATTGGCCGGCGAAGAAGATCTTGACGGCCCCCTTCTCGCGAAGGAGAGGGGCGATGTAGTGCAGAAAGACTTCCTCCTGGTCGACATCCTTGATCAAAGGGAGCAGGCTTACCCAGAACGGAACCGCGGGCACCCCATATGGCTGCTGCGGAGGGGCGAGAAAGCCGTAATAGAGTGCTAACAGGAACCCAAGGAGCCCAAGAAGGTATGGAAGCATTGCGTCGACACGAAGACACTCTCCGGCCAAGGTCGTGGTGGGATATGCACTCGGTTGGACTGGGTGACTTCTCCCATCTCCGAATCCTGGCTTCTCTTTATAGACCTTGTTTAGCTTAGCGAGACATGGCCGAGTGGACACCTTGCTGAGGCTTCGGCGGCATCCCAAAGTCTCGAACCGGTAGTCGTATATTATCCATTTTGACAAGACTGTCAGTAGAGAATCCATGCATTACAGAGTATATAGTCCCCCGAGACTTTCCGTGCAACTGGCCCCCTGTGAAGCCCCTGTTCGAGCGTGCGTTTAGACTCTGCTTATCTCTCCGGCCATCTTCTCCTTCTGGTTACAGCCTCAATTATCTTCTCCTATCGCCTTCCATCCACCCCTGTCCCAATGGACGGTGGTTCTTTTTATACACGGGCAGTTGCCAGTTATGTTCGCACTGGCGAAGGCAACCTCATCCGATCGTTCGGTCATGATAACGTCCGCTTGCAAGAGGCGTGGTTCAAGTTAAAACCCATCTTCGCGACGCAGGAGCCAAGCTCGTGGCATGTGCTATCTTCCGTATGGGAGGATGGAGTGCAAATCTCGGTCTATGAGCTGCAGCGGCCGCAGGGGGTGTTCGGTGTGGTGGTACGCGACCTCTCCGCAGATCTCAAGTCGGACGAAGTATTTGCTCGATTACTGCTCAACCACCTGAGTCAGTATGGCGATGAGCTGGCGAAGGCGGTCTGTTGCAATGGGGAGCCTCTTGCGGACCGCCTGGTCGAGGTGTTTGAGCAAGAACTGCTATTTCAGCCCCCCAGTTCGCAATGGGACACGGTTGGTAGGGCCGCGATGCGCGAGACAATATCGTTTTTCACATCCCGAAAGCTCCCAGTCGTGATGTGTCTGCCTGCTTTCCCCTGCAAGTCGTCGAACCTCAACAAGGTGGGCGGCGTGGGTCCGGATCGAGGGGAGGAGCTGGCGCTGCGTTGGCTTCACGAGGTGCTGGGTCGTATGCAGGATATCTACGTCCCCGGGGCATATCTCTGCATCATCAGCGATGGCCATGTCTTCAGCGACTGCAGTAAGTCGTCCCCCGCGACTGTATCTCTTTTTAGTCACACGTACTCAACTCAAATCTCTATTCCGCTAGTCGGCGTCGACGACACCCAGGTGGACCAGTACGGCGCACAACTGCACAACCTGAACCGCGCCATCGGCGATAGTGACTCCCAACGCATCAGCTTCCTATCGCTGCCCGACCTCCTCGAAGGCGGACAGACGGGCCACGACCTCCCCCTCTTAGCCTTGCAGCACCACATCCCCACCGACCTGACAGGTGAATCCGAACTCTGCCGACAGATGTTGCTGCACATGTGCGGCTCCAACCCGAACAGCCTCCGCAACCATATTCTGACGCAGGACGCAAGCGTGCTGGCGCTCTACCGGGGGTTTGCACGCTTCATGCTCGAAGATCTCGAGGAGCACGCGGCGGCACGGGGGCTCTCTCGCTCGCAGCGCAAAAAGTTGGCCGAGAAGCTGGCCTTCGAGATGATCCTGCGCAACCAGGCGTACTCGAACCTGACGGAGCTGTTTCTGCCGCATTTCCTGAGATTGTCCATCCACGCCCACGCCAACAGCGGGCCCAAGTTTGGGATCTGCCTTTTCAACCGCGCCACGACCCGCCTCGTAAGCAGCGTAAACGAGCTCGCCGGCGGCGGCATCGGGAGCTTTGGCGACGATGCCTCCCCGCACCTGCTCCACATCCCCACCCCCTGGCATAACTGCGTGTTGCGGATCGCGGGGCACCAGGGTTTCTTCGTGGCGAAAGCCAAGGTCGTCCGGAAGGCCCTGGCTAGCGGTCAGGTGCGCGGGCATTGGGTCCCGGCCGGTGTGGCGGCGGATTGCGGGGGTTACTTTGCGCTCAGCTGGGCGGAGGAGGTGGTAGTTCGCGACGCCTCGACCACGACGACAAAGTCAGCACCTGAGCCCGTCGTGGTCAGCTTAGATTCTCCAATCTCCCCAGCCGCCGATACCTTCGGCATCGTGCCCTCGGTGACAGGGACGACGATAGCGACAACGGAGCCGCGACGCAGCGTCTGGTGGGGTTGGACCTATCTGCGCAGGCTGCGGCGGTACATCGACTTTCAGCGTAAAGCTGCTGGGGTTTCCTGAAAACTCGTGGGTTAAGATGACATATGCTGGGCTAGATGGACTCCTCGGGATGAGCCTTGAATCCTCACCCACCCTATTCTGTATCTATGTGGTAACGACCGTCGCCGCTGGGCTTATTGGGTGGTGAGCATAGATAACAAAGCACCATTTCCTCCCGTACATAAAGCATGATTGCAATGCTTGAGTTTGGGATCTGTGCTGAAATCTGGTCGGATGGCTTGGTGTACTACTTAACATCTTCGGGTTATTATTATTTTCGCGTCCAGTTACTCATCGTGTCTGATCTGAGAATCTTTTGTGAATTGTATTCGGGCATTACAGTTGCAGGATCGTTGCATGCAGGTCGCAGAGCGAGACCAACCAGGAACTAGGGAGCCACTGCACGAAATCGAGACGGAATATCGTAATGCGAAGGGCCAGTGGAGCGGAGACTTCGGTTTACTGTCTAGCTCTTTAGTCCATAACCACTGACATGGCTGTGCTGCTCGCTATTGATAGGTTCAGGAGAATTGGGGGGCTCATTAGCAATCTGCCTCAGATCACCACCATCAACTCTTAGACGGCTTGTCAAGTCTCCTGACTACGTGACTTTAGAGAGGGCCACATGGAACGATCTCTTTACACCTTGGTGGTTCTTTTATACGGTTGGAACTAGCTAAAATGACAGTGCAGGAAAGACACGCTTGAAATCACGCAGCCAAATGAGATCAGCCACGCCGACCGAATCATCCAAAAGACCATCTCAGCGGCTCTCACCACGTTCAAACTTCCCATCGGGGTCGATACGTCTCTGACCTGCAGTGACCATCCCCTCGCCCGGGCCGTGCACCTCCCCTCTCGCTACCTGCGAAGCATCGCAGATCACGGACCTCATTCCGAGGCATCTTACCTCACCGCTCAGACCCAGCCCTACACAGGACCATGCGCGCAAGTAGGCAGCACATCCCGATAGACGTATCCTTCGGCACCCGTCAGCCCCATGCCACCGGGGTCACGACTGAGGAGAAAGCGCTCGAGCTGGGCGGCCGGCAGGGCAGCCAGGTCGCCCGCGCGGGTACGGCGACGCTCCAGCAAGCGCTGGCACTGCTGTTGGACCTGCCACGCGCGAAGCTGGGCCTTATTGTACTGGACGATGAAGAGGCAGCTCTGGAAGAAGACAAGGATGACGACCACAAGGAGCAGGCCGGAGCGCGTGCAGAAGAATCGCAGCGCGGGGGGGCTTCTGTCGGCGGCAGCTGTCGCATTGCTGTAGTCACTCCCGTCAGCACCAGCACCGGCACCGGCACCGCCGGGACCAGGCCCAGGCCCAGAAGGGCGGTTATACGTGTATGTGTACGTCCGTCGAGCACTCCCAGCGGTCGTCTGCGGGGCGGTGGTCACGCCCCACTTCCACCCCACGCCCCAACGGTCGTAGGCCTGCCGCTTGTGCGGGTCGGAGAGTAGATTGTGAGCGGCGACGACCATCCGGTACCGGGAGGCCCGGACGGCCGGGGCCAGCGCGGACGGCACGGCCCTGTGTCGGTCGGGGTGGTAGAGCTTGACCCGCTCGTAGAAGGCGCCCTTGCGGTACGGCTCGCCGGGCTGCAGCCCAAGGATGTGGTACGGGGTCAGATCGTCGGCAGTGGACGGCCACGGCGGGGAGGAAGAGTCGTGGCTGGAGTCAGATCGCCCGTGCGCGCTCCGCATGGAGGTCAAGGGGAAGGATCGTCTTGGGGTGCTGGACGTGGTGAAGTAGCCTCCCACAAGGACCGTTGGGCTTAAGGTGATCTGACGCATATCCCCTGCGAAGCCTCTGCCATAAAAAAGAGTGCGGAGAGCAAAAGGAGGGAGAGGGGGGAGAAAGAACAAGCGCGCGGGGGAGAGTCCTGTCCCACGAGATGACCCTCGTGCCCGGACTGGCATTCTCTTAAAACACACCTGATCAGACAGAGTGAGGGGAACACGCCGGTCAGACTCTCTGGGGTCATATCCACGTCAAGTTCGAGAAATTCACTCGTCCACGAGGTAATGCAGTGGGCGTCGCATCCGAAATCCGGCCCTTTTGCTAGTCACTCCGCGCTCTTCCTACAACTTACTTCTTGGAGATACAGTGGACCGAAAAGAAAGAGATTACCGGCGGCAGGCGCGAGTGTGTGACATTCATATCGAAGCTGAAAGAAAGGGATTGAGGGAATTTGAGCGGGTATGCACGCGGGCAAGATCTATCTAGTGCTGCAGCCAGCGTGTCCACCTTCTGTTCCTGTCTTGTACATGCTCGGCGTCTCAGGCTGTATAAACGATCTGTTCACACTGCATACCGTATACAGAATGCTTGAATGGTATGTTGACCAGCTGTGGTCACGTTACTTGTCTCACTGCACTCGTAATCACTTGTTCTACCCCGTGCTCCTCGAGAGGCTGGACAGCTCAGGGCCGACGAGTTGATTTGCGCTTATTTTTAAACCAATAGAGGAGTAGGTGCCTAACAAGCTTAAATAGCGCCCTGTGACATACTACTAAGTACATTCCAACCATAACCTTCGATATCCTGTCACTCGATCTGGTCCAACCTCTTCATTCACTAAGATTACCAATCCTACAAGCAAGACGAGTATCTTGGGGCATTGCAATTTCTGATGCTAAGCACTATCACGCACAAAGCCACCGCGAAAGCGACATTGGCCCCCCGGACAAGCAGCTTCAGCTTTGAGCCCAACCCTGTCCCGCGGCTTCCACTGGCACGGTCGCCATGGACATGGCAAAAGGCCGCGTTCTTCACCCCAAACCACCGGTAAGGTCCTAATCAGGGCTTGTCCAGTCCGAAGTACTTATCGTGGGACTGCTCCGGCCTCTAGGTTCTTGAGCATGAGTCCTGCATGGTGGGGCAAGCGTGAGAGAAGAAGACCTTAGAGGTTGTTCAAGGGCAAAAGACAAAGGAAGGGGAAACCTTGCATGTATCTTAGCTTCAAAGTCAACGTCTCGAGACATGCGCAAGTAGCTGGAGAAGAGAATCAAGATCAACGACTACAAAGCTATACAGCGGTTTGCCGGCAGAACTATATGAAATGCTAACCATCATGGCAGGCCCCATCCTGCCATGCAGACTAAGCCGAATTGGAGAAACGACCGAGAGTGAGCTCCCCGACCATGACCCCTACCACGATCGCGGCCAGAACCCCGAGGTTGAAGGTCATGACGGCTAACATACTGGACATGCGTCAGACCGCGATTGGTAGCGACCAGACTTTCATCATAAATACCAACAGCACTTACAGCAAATAACCAGTTAAGGCGCGAATCCCCTCGAGGAGTGTGTTAAGGCCATCGATGCGCCAGCGCCACGGTCTCGACGCAGCCCAGGTGGGGAAGGGGCAAGCAAGGCGGCGCAGCAGCCGGTTGTTGCTGCCATGGGATTTCTCATGGCCTGGAATAAGGCCTGCACTTGGAGCCAAATGGGCGCCATCGTCCCATTCTTCAGCGGTTGGAAATGACTGCAGTGGGAGGCGACTGGAACCAGAACCAGGGATTTGCGTGGCGTCAATCTGGTAGCGAAGGGCAGCGAGGAAGCGGTTGAACCATGCAAGAAGAAATAGCGCTATCAGGGCAGCCAGGTAAGCGCCCACTGACTGGGTGGACAGAGCAGAGGAAAACAGCGTGATCTGCGTACCACCCTGGAAGATGGCCGGCATTGCCATTCCCTCCTGATGTTCGGACTCGGAGCCATTCATGGTCATACTCGGGGCCATCTTGCTTCTGGCTAGAAGCTGAGTGATTTGAGTGTTCAGAGAGGTTGGTTGTGTGTTGCCAGGCTTTTGTACCAGAGTCTACACAATTCTAGTATGGCCTGTCTGCTCGACATGTGCCCCAGGGAGCCCGTCACCAGGCTGGGCTGTTAAATTACTGTCCGCTTCTCCTTTTCGCACGGGCAGAAATCCTGTCATGATATCCGCTCAAATGCGCTCACTCGTATGCACAATGCCACAAAATACAGTCTCTTACACCCGCCGGGCGCAATTCCCAGACGCAATAGAGGAATTCTTTTGATTGCATTTCAAGTACATTTCCTGAGTGTCTCCAACCAATCTAGTGGATATCTCTTTCGTGAATCAATAGAGCAATATTTGTGCTACGCATCGTTATCTTCTCTCCGCAGCCGACCACTCTACCATGAGCTCGTATGTAAGCTGACAATAGATATTCGGCCGATGCAAAGGAAAGTCACCTATCGTTGCCTATATTGGACGCGAACAGGCGATTTTACAGCAGACGTAGAGGTATTTGATAAATGCGAAATGCGTCTCGTAAACTGGTGACGAGAATTATCAAAGCCGTAGTAGCCGATGATACATCCAGCACTGCTTGTGTTGCCAGCATGGAGGAGATGGTGGATTGTCCATTATTCTTGACCTTGATGAATGCTGCGATGGAGCGTACTGGGTATGTGGTTACTATTGTTATGATTACACTATGACCGATAGCTTCATCTCCTACACGATCAGATCATAATTGTCAGCAGGGTTGGCAATGGGTCCAGCTGGCTGGAGTAGTAGAAGCAGCAAGTTGAGTTGAAATGAAAAGAGAACAGTTTTTTTTTTTTTTTTTTTTAAAAAACAAAAAAAAAAAGGCCCGCCTGAGCCAGCCTGTTCATTTTTACTCAGGCAGATTCCTTCCATCCTATACGTGCGTGACACGCTAACCCCAGAGCAGAAGTACACAGCTCAAGCCCTTCTCAGAAAATGCAGTGATCGTCAATGCAACCGACGTACAGTAGGTAAATCTAGGTTTCACCGCCCCAAATGCGGCTATAGCAGCACTGGTCAAGCGTGCGTACACCATCCGCCCTAGTTGACGCGCACATTTGCGCAATTTAAATCGTAGGATGGTACCTTGCCCGCAGCTAATGAAGGAAGATAAACCCCCATCATGGCATTTTTGGGGGGCTCCAGGCTTGATGAACGATTTCCCTCATGACCCTGTGCTCTGACCACCTGGACGGATATTTCGTGAGACTCTGCTAGGAACCGAGCGAACCAGACAACCGTCCAAACCATGGCGGTGGATAAAGAGGGGATGCGCTGGGCATGGTAGGTCGGCTCCACCTTTGGTCACTCGCATGCTGCCCAAGTGTGTCATTTGAGTCCAAGACACAACATCCCATGTGTCATCATTCAGCTCCCAGTACTGACCCACGAGCTTGGCAAATGGGATAGTCGGACCTGCATTCGTGGCCACCGCGTACTGAGATGCCAGCACTTTGAACGCCCGATGTGTCGTGTGCGCAAAGCGGGTCGTCCGCTGACGCAGTGTCCGCACGCTGGTGTCCCCCATTGCCCGTGTGTAGAGCTCTGGTGTGCGATGGCACCTGTGCCCAACGGTTGGTGGCACATATCTCCTTCTATGAATCTTTATTGGTCTTTGTGTTTATGTGGGTGGTATTGGACTAACTCATGACCACTTGTTCCGGTAGAGAGATACTTGTGTGAGTTTGTGCGCGTTGTCGCTCAGTCTCGCACCCAGGCTCCTTGTGTGCTCCAATGGCAATCCTCTGCAGAGCCCAACAAGACGATGACGGTGGCGACACCACCCAAAAGGCGAATCAATGGGCCAACAATATCCGAGAATCTGGAGCCGTCGCGGCCCGAGTCTAAGGGCAAGGGCGATGATGATGATGTTCTAAATGCACGGAGAAAAGCATTACAGCGGTCTACCGAGGGGATTGAATGATTCGTTCTGGCCATGGTGTATCCTCCACGAATTGATTTCTACTCGATACTGATAATCGTGTCATGGTAGTGACACGGAATGCGAAACGGTGTCTCTTATCCTGCATGTTTGTGTTCATCTCAATGATGTGCATACAGTGTATCGCTGGCCCATCCCCCCAGAACGAATGTCCCTAGCCACAGACCGGCGAGCACCGACAGAAAGTATCCTACATTCATGGTCATGACCGCCAGCATCAGCAGATAACCCACGCCGGCGACCACCAACTCCAGCGTGGCGCGGCCAGCGGCAGGGTTGATGGCCCACCGGGTTCTCTGATGCCCGTGCTCGGGGCAGGTTCTCGATATCCCGTCATTCCACAGACATGTCTCACATATCGGTTTCAGCGCGAGGAGGAGACGGAGAATGACGGCCAGGGCGATCAAAAAGATGCATGTTCCCGCGTACTGCCCGGTGGTGGAGGGAGTCCAGGCGTTGGAGTATAAGGGTGTGGTGGTCGAGGTGAAAAAGACCATGGTCATGGACATCGACATAGAAGAGGAGGAAGAGTCGGTTGACATGCTTGTTGTGCTGAAGCTCGTGGCTGTGGTAGTTCCCATGGCCATGGCCATGGTTGTTGTGGTCGAGCTCATGTCCATGTCCATCATTGCGTTGGAGGGAAATGCCGTGGACGCGGAGGAATGACGAAGGCGTAGGTGGGAAATGTTGCTGGGAACGGAAAGGGGGGTAAGATGATAGAAGGAAGAAAGAAGGTGACAAAGGGCAAGCCGAAAGAGAAATAAACTAGCAGCAGACCGCGCCTTGACATATTGGCCAAACACTTCGACTGATATCTCGAATTCTCTCTCTCCCGCGCAGACCCGCCAGGCTCGGACGCTAATTCTTACGCTATTTTTACGCTAATGCATAGGCCGTGCGCTGACCTGCCCAAAATACCCTCAAATGTGCTCAAATCTCGACTGTACTCCGTGTAATTCCCCGCCAAAGAATGGCTCAGGCTAGAATTGATAATTCGCTCGATAAACAAGTGTTACGAGGGAGTATCCTCCGAGCACTAAATCCTGTCTCGACGCGTGGCATGTTACATGCAGAATATTACAATCTACTATCAAGTCAGTGGGCCCCAGAGTCATTTCTCTTTTGCAAAGGATATACATGCATTGCGATTGGTCATCATAGGCATAAGGAATGTAGAGACAGAGAAAAGCACTCCGCTTCAATTCTATCCTGTCTACTACTAAACATCTCTACTTACTCTTTCCCTCTTCACCTCACATATTCTATCCCGTCTCTATATCTTATTCACACATCCAGCATGATTATGATACCGTGGCTGACCTCGCCCGTCGCCCTGCACTCCAACCGCGATGCCGGGACGTGTAGTTTGACCCCGGAGCAATGCGCCTTCAAAAATTCCTGGTGGGTGTTTTGGTACGAGGCTGATCACCGTTATGCCCTGCCCACGGTGGCCTTGTTCCTCGCTGCTATCATTCTTGTCACCCTCGGCCAACTGCTCGGTCTTCTGGTTCCTGCGCAAAGACGAACGGGCGGGTCGTTTTTCTCTCGCCTGTTCGCCCTTGTGCGCCTCTTAGCCGCCCAGCAATGGCGCCTCGGAGGCTGGTATACGCCCTCGCTGGGAAGCCTGCTGTTGGGTGCGGTCGGACTTATATTTTTCTTTGGTAGGACTTCTGACTGAATTCTCAACTTGTGACCGTTTACTGACAGAGTCTCAGCAATGACCCTTGGCCCTCGTCCTTACTACTGGCCCAACACCAGGGAGCTCAGTTTCGGGAATTCGCCACCGATTGCCACCCGAACCGGCTGGATGGCTCTCGGCTGTATGCCCTTCATATAGTGTGTCCTCTTCTGATGTGTTCCAGTTGGGAAGCTTGTGCTGATCAGACGGATAAAAGTGTCCTAGGGTCGAAGGCAAACCCAGTGAGTGCGTTGACGAGGATCCCGCATGAGAAGCTGAATCTATGGCACGGGTGGCTTGCCTGGGCCATGTGGGTGCTGGCCTTAATTCATACCTTCCCATTCATCATCTACCACATCTGGAAAGGAGATCTCGTGTATCAGTGGAATGACGGAGGCGTCTGGGTAACGGGGGTAGTAGCGCTGCTTGCTCAAACGTGGCTTACCGTGCTCTCGATTCCATGGCTTCGGTATGTACAGCACAAACCCTAGTATTTCCCCCTCGCTCTTCATCCACTGAACCACAGATTTTCACTGTAGAAATCGTTATTACGAGTTCTTCCGGTTCTCCCACTATGTCGCCGCACTGGTCTTCATTATCTTTCTGTTCTTCCACTGCGACTTCCGCCTTTCCTCGTGGGACTACTTCATCGCAACGGCCGTGCTCTACACCCTCTGCTGGGCCTATTCGCAGCTGAAGACCCTTTTCGAGTTTGGGTGGCACCATCGGGCCTTCATCGAGGCGGTCTCGCGCCAGACACTGAAGATCACGATCCCGACCTCCCACGTGCACTGGAGCACTGGTCAGCACCTCTTCCTGCGCTTCGTCATTCCCGATGCCCAGGTTTTCACCGCCCATCCCTTCACGATCACCTCTTTGCCCAACGCGCTGGACCCCAAGCGGTCAGACCTCGTCTTCTACGCGCGTGTCTGCAAAGGGATCACTAAGCGCCTGCTGGCCCGCGCGACCTGCTCCTCCACTCCGTTGCTCGTCCCTGTCCTCCTCGAGGGCCCGTATGGGGGCGTCTCGCACCGCCATCTGCGTCGCTTGTGCAGCCCCGCCTCCACCACCCTCCTCATCGGCGGCGGCGACGGCGCCGTCTTCACCCTCCCACTCATTGAACACTACCTCTGCCACGCCGTCAACGACCTCGAAGCCGATACCCCCTGCGAGTTGCGCGTGGTCGTCGCCACCCGCGACCCCGAGCTCACCCGGTGGTACCGTGCTGCCGTGCGATCCCTGGTGACGGCCGGCACCATGCTTCCCCTCGGTGGGAGTGCAAGTGAAGGCGACGAGAAGGAGGGCAGAATGCAGACCCCGGGCGCCACTGGCGGACTGACGATTGTCATCCACGAGACGCACATCCCGCAAGACTACCACAGTAGCGAGAAGACGATGGTCGCGGGGCCTGAAAAGCAGCCCTGCTCGCTGTGTGCGGAGGAAGAGCCGCAGGACGGGAGGCAAGCGGCCTTCGATGAGGAGGGAGTCGATGGTAAGGAGGCGCTCACGGCGGAATTCCCGCTGCCGGTCCTGGTTCGCCAGGGTAGGCCGCCGCTAGTGGATATTATCGGCGCGGAGGTCGAGCGTCCGCCGCTCGCAGCGCGGACCGGCCGCTGCGTTGGTGTCGTGTGCTGCGGGCCGGTTTCAATGACCCACGATGTGAGCCAAGCGGTTGCCAGTGGTCAAGCGCGAATCCTGGCCGGGGAGCTGCCGGGACGCGAGATCTGGTTGCATCAGGAGGGCTTTAGTTATTGAGCCAGAGGCTGTAGCGGGCGGAGCGGGTGCTCTTAATAAAAAACCCTAAACGGTCAGCAATTGCAGGGAGCCACTACAACGATCAGACGCTTGGCGTCTGGTTGGTTCGAATCCACGAACACGTAACACACAGATGATGGCAGGAAAATATCCTTACTGCTTAATTCTAAGGGTCTCAGGATCCGCACGAGGAGTAATCATTTGCCTGGGGCTTGGCTCCAAGTGATATATAGCGGCGTGTGTGTGTTGGCCTGAGGTCGCCGGGCCACGTGACACGGCGGAAGACACCACGTAACGTAGTCAAATTTCTTCGTTAGCTACACATATCAATCAATATCATCAATTTGTATGGCCTCAGCCTAAGTCTCCTGAAACTTAGTTCCTCCAACAATATACAGCCGGGCATTGGCTCCGAGAAGGAAGGGGGGGATCAATTCCAACCAACAGGAATGATTAACGTTCGCTTACTTGGTAAGGTCGGAGCATGAGGACTGAGGAATTGTCTTTATTGGGAAAATCATGGTTGGCAGAGATAGATAATAGTCCTTGTGAATATTTCACCTGACAAAAGTTCTCACTGTATGGGACGGGATCAAACGGGTCGATCTAATTCGTATTCTAGCCTTAATTGATGGCACCACGCGAACACAGTATATTCATTTGTGAAGAAAGTCAAGCTAGACATGTTGGGAATCTAATTCATCTTTCCACCTCTAGCATACTATGCCGCACAATCACGCAAGGCTACACCAGCGATCGTTTTCGAAATTGACTAACATGGAGCTAGATCTTTGAAACGACCTCGGCACATTTTTCCCTTTTCGGGCATTGGGTCAAATGTGAACAACTCATCTCCGCGCAACCTAAGGCGGCCGCGACTGGTTGGGAAGCCAGGAGCTGGAGTGTAAATGACTCGTAGCGGGTGTGACAATACCAAGTAATTTGCCCAAGGCGATTAACAGGTATCAAGGGACCATGAGAATGGCTGGGTGGTTATTTCGTTCTGAACTTTTGGTGCTCACGAAAAAATGTAATAATATCAAGCCACACACCGTTGTCAGACACGGGAGGCTAAGGGCGAGCAACCAATGGTGAGCAGGTTAATCCAGCTCAAATCTGCTCATGCCAATACGCGGTTCGGGTCTAGCCAGGCGGATCAAAGCGCTGGAGCCGTCAGGGCTCTACTTGATCACGCCGCACTCCTTCGAGAGCACTGATGGATAATTTGATAGTAGTACTTTGTAATAGTGATAAACCCCAGATCCTCTGTCCTGCAACATTTGGCCGGAGATTCACCTCAACCGCCTCGAAACAGCTTGCTACAACCCACGGCAAGTCATCCGAAATGTCCGCAGCCTGGCTCACACCACCGGTCCAGCTGACAGGGAGTCGAGAGTTTACCTGTGATGGCTTCACAACGGAACAATACGACTATTATATGCAGCGGTGGCATTTTTGGTCAGATTGCTCCCTAGATTCTCCCCGACCGACGTCAATAGTCCTTAGACTTCTCGCTGACATCTATGCAACGCAAATAGGTACATCGCCGACTATGTCTACGCTCTACCGACCATCGCATTCTTTATGTGTTCAACTGGGATCTTTATCATCGAATATTTCTTTTCTTCGGTACTTGGTAACCGGAGAATGTTGCGGGGTCCTCGATTATGGCAAAGGTCGATTGCCTTCATCCGATACTTGTCCTACCGTGGCTTTCATGTCCGGGCACTGGGATGGAATTCAGCTCCCTTGGGAGTCCTGCTTTTGGGTGCGGCAGGGGCCATCTTCTTCCTCTGTAAGCCACCATCAACGTTGAAGCGAACATGTCGAAGCTGATGATAGCTGGACTATCAGGCATGGTGCTCATTCCACAGCCTTACTACTGGTCCAGTCTGAATTATGGTGGTTCGCCTCCCCTTGCTACAAGATCGGGATGGATGGCGCTGGCGTGCATGCCCTTTGTCTTGTAAGTCTCCAAGTGGTTGAAATCGTCAATTGACATAATAATTGTGTACAGCGCAACGGCCACCAAGACGAATTGGATCACCTTTTTTACCGGCGTCTCCCATGAAAAGCTCCAAGTATTTCACCGATGGATATCCTATGCCTTCTTCGTCCTCGCGCTCTTGCATACCTTTCCCTTCATTGTCTACCATATCCGATTCCATGACATGGTGATGCAATTTGAGATGAGCCTTATTTTTTACTGGACCGGAATTGTGGCTATCATCTTCCAGGCCTGGCTTACCTTTGCCTCACACAGTGTGGTTAGGTATGTGACCGCACAGCAATGGGCACAAAGGCAAGGTCCTCACCAATATAAATGTGTTGCAGAGAACTGGGCTACGAATTCTTCAAGGCGACACACCTCTTTGCTGCTGCCGTTCTTATTCTAATCCTCTTTTGGCACTGCGACTATACCCTGACCTCCTGGTAAGCACAAGCATCTGATGCGGCCCCCTTGGACACCACCACCAATATCTATCTAGGCACTACTTTATCGCCACAGCCACAGTATACGTCCCCTGTTTCCTCCATCCCTGGCTGAGGACGCTGTTCGAGTATGGAATGTGCCAAAAGGCCCAAGTTCACCTTGAAAGCAACGGCTTCATCCGGATCGTAATCCCCGTGGTCTTCCGGTGGCGACCCGGCCAGCACTGCTTCCTCCGCTTCACCAGCTTCGGGCTACTCCCTGCGCTCTCGGCGCACCCGTTCACCATCTGCGCCCTGCCAGCAGAAAGGCCCGGTGACGAGTCCCATCTCGTCTTCTACATCCGCCATCAAGGCGGTTTTACGGCGCGTCTTTACGAGTTTGCCGTGGCGCACCCGGAGGCTTTTGTGTCGGTGCTCGTCGATGGCCCGTACGGCGGAATCAACCTGCAATCCTACGTTCGCAGCGACAATCTTTTGTTAATTACAGGGGGATCTGGGATTGGATGGACTTTGCCGTTTATTCAGCAATTCCTCGCGTCACGATCAGCGTCTGGTGACGTAGAATGTGGCCAAGGAATTGATGTCGTGAGCGAGGACGATACAGGAGCAGCAAGGCACAATAACCCGCCTTCTAGCAATGGCCTTTCTGCGCCTCGCTCCCTGCGGGTCATCCTGGCAACTAGAGACACCAACAGCCGCATGTGGTTCGATCAAGCCATCAGTCGACTGCTGGACGAGTTCTCCGTTCCCGGCGCGCTGCTCGATCTTCACATCCAGATCCATCTGACTGGGGACGAGGCCGACCGGCAACCGACCCAGAGGCAGCAGACCCCCGCTGAATTGAAAGAGCAGGACCCCTTGCCCGCAAGTGGGGATGGTTCAAACGATCAAGCGATGCTCACCATGATGGACAGCTCCAAGGGCCGGCCACGGCTCCCTGCGATCATTCACGAAGCAGTTCATCCCAGCGAGTCACTCGGGGTTTATGTTTGTGGGCCAATTTCGATGCAGAGTGATGTTCGTAATGCAGTTGCTGACGAGAACTTGAAAGTCCTGAAGGGGGCCAAGTCGGGGGGGGTTTATCTGCATTGCGAGCATTTTCAATGGGCATAGTGGCAGGAACATGTGTAAATTATTAGTTAGTAATTCATTGGTTGATCGCGCTGAAGACTGATTAGTCTAATCTCAGGGCTGAGATATGTAGACGAAGTTGAGGTCCCTGAGGAATCAATGCCGATTTGAAGAGCGGCCGCTATGCAAAGTGCTGAAGGCCACGAATTGACATCTATTTGCCTCACATGGCGAGATCCATTGGAGGATTTGTCGATGGGCTTAGAAGGTGTGATGGGATTGAGCTCAATTGTGCGTACTTCGACCAGGGTCAGAATTGGTGTGAGGGGTCGGACTCGCTGAGGCCACACTCAGGCCTTACTAAGGCCCTCCATCACACTTGAGCCGTTTACAAGTATGGCCGTAAAGAAGACCCTTTGCCTCCTATCATATTAAAAACTGCATCAGAAGATTGGAGGAGCCTTGAACAATATATTGGATCTTCTCAAAAAAGCAGGTTAAATAGGCGAAATAGGCTTAAAAACATTGTGCTAGAAAGCAGTGTTTTTAGGGCAGTTCTGGACTCTGCAGAGGTATTACAGATATTTTAAAATTCTCTACTAAAAGGGCAGTAAAATACACCCCCAGGCAATGACCTACACAGGCCTTAACAAGACCCCAAATCTGTTAGAAAAGTAATAAGTTAAATTCACAAATATATAAAGAATAGAGGTAGTGGATCCTGGCATATTACCTAAGGCAGGGGGCCAGTAGTTGAATTATCATCATCATTATCATCATTGATTGTAACACTTAAGATTGTGCTTACTGCTTATAGGTCTTTTGCTGAATTTGTCTCTAATGACTCTCAAAAAGAGTCGCGGCTGGAACAAGAACTCTGTATTTTAATCTAGCAGTGGAAGGTAGTTGTATACAGAGGAGTAAATCTGCCCTTAAATAGCACTGCAGTCTATCCACAGCCAAAGCCGTAACAAACAGTACTTTTTCATAGGCGGCGGTATATTCCTTATCATTTATTAAAATAGTCCTTCGGATCTTAACTACTGGCGGAAAGATTTATAGCAGTATTAAATAAGCTCTTTGAAGCTGGTATCACCCCACAAAGAAAAATTCCCGTCTTCTACCAAGATTGGTGACTACATTTTACAGACGATGCTTTTTAATAATTCTTAAACATACTTTGCTCTAGACGAAAAGATGCAACCGAGTCCTTCAGCCGGCGGTAATTAAAAGTTTAGTAGCACAAAAAGCTTATTGAAATAAATTAACCTGTCGGGCTTCAACGTCGATACTACAATCATAGTAGACATCTTGTCACGGTGCAGACCTAAGACACCCAGTCTACCTAAGATACCTAGTCTACCTAGCCTACCCAGACTACCTTGCGTGCCCCGAACACCCCGACGGCCCTATTGCCCTTTCTGACCGCCCAGCATGTGATGCACAACCTCCTTAACCTCCCATCTGTTCCTGATCCCGTTTGTAGCTCTTCGAGCTACGTCTTGTCTATGAACCTGAGAATAGCCTGACCAAGTAGCTAGTTAAGAATTGAGAGAACTATTATCAAGTGACTTCCAGCCAGCTCTGTTATTCCTACAACCCCGCCAGCCAGTACCCATCGACCCAGCCCGCACCCTGACAAGTACGGTCTGGTGCGGTCTGGTCCTTGGTCTTTGCGGTCTTTTTTGAGGCCTAGATGCTTGTTTAATGAGTGCATCATTTTGAAGACCACGCTACATGCTTCAATACTTCAATCAAAGCACCCAGCCAGAGACAAGGCAGGGATTTTGTGTACAGAAGAATTCCGAGCCGGGGTTCTTGGGGGCAGGCGTCGCATATACGGCCGGCGGGAGGCTTGGCTAGCCTGAGGTGGTATCCTCCGACCACCACTCCGAATATCATCCCAGTCGACAATATGTTGAGCACAAGTGGTAGCTGAGGCATATTGACCCCTGGTTAGAGACACGAAAAAACAAAGACAGAATTGCAAATCGCAATCCCAAGCCTATCCTTGAAGCTGAACCCCACCAATCAATCAACGTAATATACCACCCACACTCCAATGTGAGGAGTGATAGGGTTGTCGAGAGAAATAATATGATGATATTTTATTTTCTGGGTCTCCAACTGCCCAATCATCCTGCAGCAGCTCAAAGGCTATACTTCTAATCGTGTGGATATGGTACCAGGGTCAATCGGAGCCCAAAAGGATTCGAAGCAAACAATTGCGCGCCGCCCGTAATTTTCGGGAGAAATGTCCCAAAACCGGCAGTTCGGAGCCTCCCAGTTAGGGTTGACTTCATATATCGAGATCCAGACTCTCCACCTTCTGATAGAATTGAATTTCTTACCCGTTCCACCCTTCTAGAAGAAAAAAGAGCACGTAAAATGTGGTCCTCATCACAGACATTGGTAGAGCTCCTGGGCGTGGCGATCGTCCCCGCCCTCCCCAAGGCCTGCCACGCGCCGGAGCTTCCTCCCCCCCTGCGAAAGTCTATCAATCTCAATTCTTCCCCACCTACTTGGAGAGTCTCTACATGCGCTCCAACAGCAATCTCCTCGCCGTGACCGCGTTCCCCGACGCCTTCCTCTACTACCTCACCGGCATGACCAACGATAATCCGGACGACCCGCCAACAGTAACCCTAATCCGCGCTTTCGAGGAGATTAACACTCTTACCAGCATTATCGAGACCTAACCAGACATCTTCACCATCGTGACGGCGACACCTCAAGCTACTCATTCCTCATCCCGGGAACCCTCGGCGTCTGGGAGCTTGATCTCCGCCCCGCCAGCAAGAAGACCAAGAAGCCAGCCCCGCAAGCCTGCAAGCCCGTGAGATCGCGCGCATCGCCTCCGGCGGCTTCATGATCAGAATGGACACGATCTCGTCCATCACCGCTCTGGTGGCCGACGCCTTCAACTGTCTCGTCTGACGCGTCGATCTAACCACCGGAGCCTACGACCGCGTCATCCAGGACCCCACCTGTAGTACCCGCCCTGGGCCTCCGCGCCCGTCGGTATCAACGACATCAACGTCCACAGCGGCTTCCTGTACTGGATCAATGCCGCTGTGGCGACGCCCTCGCGCATTCAACTCACCAACGACGGGTACGCGACGGCCGGGGCGGAGAGTGAGCTGGTGGCCGAGGTGCGGTTTGGATAGTGTTTTTCGGAAACGGGCCAGGACGGGTCGGTCGATACTGGTCAAGATATCCCACATGCATACCCCATACAATATAGGCGAATCCGACCCACTACTAAGTATTGTACTAGTCTCAACAATCCGACCAATGCACGTTGACCAAAAGCTTGATACCTCAGGCCCGAGCGTCAGAGACCCTGCCGGCTAGGGCTTTTGGGAAACAACGCGATGTAACCGCCAAGAACCGCTAAAGCTGATCTCTTATTAAAAAGGGCTCCGGGGTATGCTTTCGTTCCCCTTCCCCCTTTCCTGCTTCTGTGGCAGACTTCACTCAGTCTTACTCTATCATCATGGAGACACTTCCGACCGAGTTAGTTGACACTATTGTGAGCTGGCTCGATCTCCAGGATGTCTGCGCGCTCCGTCTGACTGGACGTACTATCTTATCCCACATATCCACTGCCGCTATTTCTCGGAGCTTTTACTCTTCTAAGAGGGTGGAAATGACAAAGGCTGCGCTAGAACAGCTGGTTCGCTTCACTCAGCCAGGACAGGTAGGCCTCTGGCGCCAACGGCTCACGCTGTATGACTGTGTCGAGCGCACGGAGCAGTCTGGTGCTGATTTCGACGCAACCGAGCTACTGGCCCAAGCATTTGCGAACATACGCGACCGGCCAGCGTCCCACCGGGGCGATCAGCTGTCGCTCTCTATCTCCCTGGAGTTCGACAACTTCTCTACCTGGGACAGGGATGTCACAGCTCGGGTGTTCCACGCGACCATCTCCGCCATCGCGAGGACGGAAATCCCGGTCCAGGAATTAGATATTTTCGGCGACGCTTACTTGCACGATGACCACTTTGAAGACGGCCAATGTAGCTTAGCATTTGGCGATATCGCTCTTGCTGTATCTCACCACCGGACCTCCCTGGCAACATCTTTGCGAAACTGCACCAAGTTCTGCCTAAGTCTAGGCTACTCGACCCGCGGATTCGACTTCGAAAGCAGCGTCAGCACCTGCAATTTTCGTTTACCGCTGACCGCGAACGAAGCCCGACAGAATACTCAATCGCTTTGTGATCTCCTCAACATGTGTCCTCTTCTCGAAGAACTACAACTCGTGTGGGAGAATGACGATCTTGAAGAAACGCGTGCAGAGAAGAACGGGAATTCTTTAACCAGATAGGTATTTCCTGTGCATTTGCAAACTTGAAGCGATGTAAACTTCAGGATCTCGACACGTCCGAGAATCCAATCATGACCTTTTTCCGCCGGTCCCCGAGGCTGCTAGAGTTGACCTTGGATGGATTGATTATGATGCCCGGAGATTTCAGCCATCTTTTTCATTTGCTGTCGACAGCTATGCCAGACCTGGATTTGTTACGGCTCCGAGGGCTGGATGATGACCTGGGTAGTCTGTACTTTTTCCACGAACCAAAAGAAAGCACATGGGGCAGACGGCCAGGGGCTGCTCTACATGGTATCAGACGGAGAGGGTCTGACGCCAGACGACTAGTTGTACCTACCAACAGAAGATAAGAGTCGATTCGATTGGACTATTTAGAAGAGCCATGGTGTGGAAGTCTAGATCCCAAACAACAGTCTAAGCACAGATATTATATACAAAACCCTCGTAACGCCTTGGCTCTTCATTTATGGGATTCATCAGGCGATGTAACCTCAATCTATAGATTAAGATCATGGGTAATAAGGCCCCCTTTCCCCTATTTTTCTAATCCTCATAAATGTTACAAAGGTTTTCAAGCGAGCCCAGATAGTACTGCTCATTATCCTTCTACATTCATTTCTTGCTGTGTTTCCATTGCTGAGGCTAGATCATTCAGCTAATCTTCTAGGTATTTCTCCTTCAAAAGAGCAGCAAGGTTGAAGGTCTTGCAAGACCAACATAATCACGTTACATTCCTGGAAATGGGGGCTTTTGATCTCCATAGCGCTTTTGTGGAAACTCATCGGCGCCGATAAATCCTTCACTTCCTCCCAGGTAAGGGATTCGAGAGCCACCTCGTTTGGGGTGGAGGCTGTCAGCGGACTGAGAGGCTTCATGGGAGGTTCTGGGACGTATTTGATATGATTCTTGATGGTTGGTTGGCAAGTTGGTTGAACTAGCTACGTTCCGTATGTAAACAAGATGAAAAGGCCTTTGGAATCACGTGGCCGGATTACTTAGCAGTGCTGACAGAAGCCAACAAGAGCCACTTTATATATTCCCGAGCGTAAGATTAACCCCAGCTCCCTCACGGTACCTTGTCTGACCCTCCTTAGTGATCCTGAATGCGGTACAAGCACTTGGGATGATCCAGATACTCCGTCATGCCGTGCTTTATGTGGTCCAGCCTTAGAAGGTTGCTCCGGTAGCTTGAAAAGACGCAGCTACGGGCTTCGCCTCACCGAAGCCCCAGGTGATAGCAACGCATCTCATCAGCTTGTGGAAAGGACAAGCCTCCACCCGCGTGCCTTTACGGACCTGACCCTTGCCGGTATCCGAGATTACGTTCCAAAACAAGCAGACCTAACAAAGAAAGCTTGGGATTCGTAATTCGGGGAGCCTCTGCCGATAGTTCAATATCGAGGCGGTATAGAGACCAGTAAGTCGATGGCCCAGCAGCGAAGATTTGGGGATAGTGGTGCCTTTCAAATCGCCACCACGGGTCTTATGGGGTGTACTGTTGTAACAGTGGTGTCTAAAACGGGGGTCTACATGGTATGCAACATCACACAATAAAAGACTTCCCCTTTCGATGTCAAGTGTCCAACCCAGCCCAAGACCGGTATTGAAAGCTTGCTCGAGCAGCACCATTTAGATCTAGGCCCAGGATCATTCAATCCCCGTGAATCATTACCGCGGCCAACCCTTCTTTTCTAGGCACACTACTGGGAGAATCCTAGTTTTTCACGACAAGCAACCTTCCAGAGACGCGTCCTCAATTTCATTTCTGGTTACAAACCACGAGACGGGGAGGACCCGGCCCTCGACCCAACTATCTTCAATGGGGCAGAGGACGACACACGCATCTACATCATGCACCCTCGCAGGGAACTATCACCCAACAATCCTTTCTTACCGAACTACGACGGGAAATTTGTAGAGCTACGTGACTTGCTCAATGTACGACTTCTTCCTGGAGCACCCACGGCGGCGAGGATGTACGTCGCTGTCCCATATATCTTCGATGAGAATGGGGAGTATGAAAGTGACCCCATTGAGGAACAGCAATGGAGACGACATGCTGTGTTCCAGTATGATCCGAACGCGCGTGGCAACGGAATGCCAGGCTGGAGGCTTTTCTTTGAGGATCATTATTTCGACAGTACTAATGCGCCCCCGGGCCCTGAGTCCGCCAACGACATTCCTGATATACCCTAACTTTCTGCGGGGATGCCCCGGCAAAGAGGGACATCGATGTACAGCACAGGACTATCGAGGATCTCCAGGTTGAGATATGTGGACCGATGGCCTCCTTCAGTGCTCTCACAACATCTCACATGGCCAACTTAGGGTTAGGTTTGGCTTAGAAGAAAGAAAGAACTGTTCTGAGTAGCGCCCTTACTGTCACGTGTTTTATAATAGCCTCCCAGCGAATCTTATTGCAGAACGAGGCGTGTACCTGCGGTATATTGTGGTTTCACTACACAAGTTCAAAAGATCCTCCCTGACTGGCCTTATACTATGTAGAAAAGCTGCATAGAGATAGACATCAAGTCTGTAGTGACTGCTGTAGTACGGAACCACGGAGGAACCTTTTCCTACAGTAGTCTCGCACTGCAGCCTGTTCCTGGTGCTTACAACACTGAAGAATGTCGGACTCTGATCTCCATTTTCTCGAAAACGATGAGGTTTCGATAAGCTCGTCAAATACTCTTATCACGCTTGCCGATCTTATGGCGATGACAGGAATCCTCAATATGCTGTTATACCCAGTAGTAAGCATTAAATCCTGACGACATAAATCATCCAGGGAAGAACGGATCCGCCTCCTGCGAACCTAGCCATTGCATCTGTAACCAATCACCCATCATGGGGAAGGAATAATTCATCCCTGCGTATTGTGGGAGAGGAAACAGCCCCAGCATTGACGGCATCACCCGTCGGTCGGCTAATCCGAGTCAGACACGAAAGAGGTCATGAAAATGTGGAGCCAATTAGGCTTACCTTCATTCAAATCCATGGAATGGGACCAGGTGGTCATCCCCAGCCCCGTCGTAAAGTCGCTGCTAGTGACCGTCGACATGCCCTGCGTCACCACCATCACCTCGCCATCCACCTCCGTGTTCGTCGCACTGCAGTTCCCGTCACCCGCGCGCGCCAGCGTGAGACTGACGATCTCCGTCGCGCGCTTAGCCTCCCGGGACGAGGTACTGCGTCGCATCCAGATGGTGCGGGCCCGGCGCAGGGCCGCCAGGATGTCTTCCGTGCGCTCGCCGAGCGGTTGCTCTCGGTGCAGCAGCGAGCAGAGGATCATCGTCGCCGTCAGAAAAAGGTGGTTCATGCTGGAGGTGATGCGCCACCGCATCTCGTGGAGCTGGCCGCCCGGGCAGGTCTCCTCGTCGAGCACGTGCTGGATATGCAACGTCCCCAGTGATGCGTCGATACAGGCGGTGCGCGAGTACGCGAAGGGCACTTCTCTGCTGTCTTGTTCGCTGACGTTCTCGCAAGCGCCAGCACCAGCACCAGCACCAGTACCAGTCGCTGTTGCCGACGCCGTGGCTGCCACATGTATCTCCAAGAACCGTCGATGCAACATGATCTGGCCCTTGTAGAGAAGGTGGCGCAGGAAGAGCCGCGACATGATCACCTGCGGCGAATCGGTAACGCTTGCCGCCAGCGGCTTGATGCGGAGCGGCGGGGGGATGCTGGCCACGGCGTCATGCAGTGCCTTGTCTGCTTGCATGATCTCGGCATAACTGACCGGTTTGACCGCGTCCGCGAGGTCGGCGATCGCGCCCAGCGCGATGACCATGCGTCGCCGCGCTATAATGCCCAGCGCGGTGGTGTGCTCGGTCTCGGGCCGTGCCGGCGGTAGTTGGGTCAGCTCCTGGTCCAGGTCCATGTCGTAGAGATTGCGGGGCTCGGCCGTGTCGCACTTCCAATCACAGATCATCCGTGGCATGCCCATCTGGCTGGAGAGGAGAATATCGCTCGTTAGTACGGTGGCCCAAAGTCGTCGTCGCATCTCCCCCTGCAGCGGCGAAATGCCCGGGAAGTGGCTGGGGTCGCGGTGGTAACCCATCCGCATCGCCAGGTTGACTTCCAATCCTAACAAAAACCAGATGTTCCGATCCGCGTCCGGATTGATGCCGAATTCGATGTAGAGATAGTGCACAACAGTTTCCAGCACATATTGTCCCGGCTTTGTATACTCGCCTAGGACCAGGCATTGCACGATCTTCTCGCGGTAGAGGTCAACTTGGAGGGATTTCTGCTCCGCTTCGGGCCCGTCGGTCGTATCCGACGCCACCACCGCCAGACACACCATGCTGAACAGAAGACCAACCCATATGATGGACACTCGACTGGAGTCGGCCCAAAATGCCTCATACTATGAGATCCTAGTCAGCATGGGCTCACAGGTCATCTGAAGTATGCCAACTTGCCTCTCGCAGAAAGCTGGGCCCATGTACCGCAGCTAGTACACCATTCAGAAATCAGCCCACCTCCATCTCGAGACGGTCGGAGGATTGCACAAAAGGGTTGAAAAATGGAGTACCTGACTCACCAGATGCGACTAGGTCGAGATAGTTGAAATAGCGCGAGAGGTAGCGGTCGACGGCGGCCTTGGGCGGGAGAGCCGCGATAATCTCCGCCCGCGACGTGGGGCGATGACATCCATACAGCAACAAAGCATGGCGAAAGTGGGGTGGTTCCTCTTCACTGAGCTGAGTGGGCGTCTCTGCCAGGGAGATCTGCTTCTCGCAGTCACAGTGGGCTTTCAGGTCGGCGATACTGTCCAGGATGGCCGCCCAGTGTTCACTGGCCACATACCGCAGCTCGGAGCTGGTGATCTGCATGCTTCCGCAGTCCGACTGCGTATCAAGACCATTGGCCGACTCGTGTCGAACATCACCACTGGAGCTGGAATTAGGTGTGGCCAGTGGCTGCTGGGGCTTATGGGCGTGAGATACCATCCCGTCGGCCATCAGCGACTTCACGAGACGCTCCAGGTGCACCAGCCGATCATGTACTCCGGAGGTCCCGCTGGACGGGGCCAGCGAGGAGGATGCTCCGGGCCTAGCTGTCAGGTAGACGCACGTCTGATCCCGCGAGAGACAGCTGGAGCATGTAGGCTGTTGCCGATCGCATCGAGACTTTCGTTGACGGCACGCGTTACAGGAGAATTGGGGCTTATCACGCCTGCGGCGGGGCTTGGCGGGAGGGATCCCGCTGGATAATGAGGGAAGCGGATCCTGCGACATGGAGACATTGGATGAGGGCATCTTCTTAGACTGATCAAAGAAAGAGAGGAACAACGGAGGATGAAGGCAGGAGGGATGATGTTGGTGGTTGGTGTGGAGGGGGATTCTTTGAGACGGAGTCAGCAATGAATGGATGCCTTAAAGCCCGGAAACTAGTACTAGTGCTCTCTGCCTGAGGCCAACATCCGTATATACGGCGCCGGCGGGGTGATCGGCCCTAATCGGAGGAAAGCCCGCATATACGATCGGAAAACAGTTTCAATCGGACATAGCTTCCCTGTCCATCCCTCATCATTGACTTTTTTGTTTTATAAAACCAATGCAGTTGACGTAGCTTCCGGTGGTGTGATGGGGCTTCTACCTTTAAAAACTTTCACCACCGAATTATATACAAACTTTACCAACTAATTCGAAACCATCCAAGTATTGCGTGCAGTCAGACAGACAGACACAGTCAGGTATGGCGGCTAAGCAAGAAGATACCGAGACAGCTGTCAGCGCAGTCTCTCAAAAGACCAGTCTGTTTGAAGACAAATCAACCAACAACGACGATATCGTCGATTGGGATGGCCCTGAGGATCAGCAAAATCCACACAACTGGTCCAGTGGCAAGCGATGGGCCCATGTCATTGTGGTCGCCTTGATTTCTTTGGTCATGTAGGGCGCAATCTTCACGAGCTGGGGCCGAATTGACCCTCATTCATGCATTCATCTACTGACTATTTGCCATTTTAGGAACATGGGTCCTACCATGTGTGCCCCCGGGATCAACAAAGTCCTCGACACCTTTGATAGTCACTCGTCTACGGTGGCTACTCTGGCCGTTACCCTCTATGTTTTGGGCTTGGCCATGGGTCCCATGTTCATGTCTCCCCTCAGCGAAGTGTTTGGCCGCTTACCCGTGTATCATGTCGCCAATCTCTTTTTCGTGGCGTTCATGATTGGGAACGCCTTGAGTCAAAATCTCGCCACTTTTATGGTTTGCCGTTTTATCTCCGGCTGTGCAGGAGGTACACCGATGGCTTTGGGGGGTGGGACAATTGCCGATGTGACGGTGATTCAGCAACGTGTCCTTGCCATGTCGTTGTACAGCTTGGGCCCTATGGCTGGGCCGGTAGGGTTGACCCTCGCTCAACATATGGAATACGAACAAGCTGATCTATATTCTCCTGTGGCTAGGTACTTGGTCCCCTCATCGGCGGCTTTGTCGCAGCAGGTCTTGGGTGGCGTTGGACCTTTTGGCTCCTCGCCATCTTCGGGGGCGCAATTGGGATTGCAGCCTTGGTGGTGATGCGAGAGACACATCCCAAAGTCCTGTTAGAGCGTAAGACAGCTCGTCTTCGTGTGGCGACCGGGAACTTGCATCTACGATCGAAGATGTCAGACAACCAACCGTCGCAGCAAATTCTGCTGCAAGCCCTCGTACGGCCCACCAAGCTTTTATTCCGGTCCCCAATCTTGTTAGTGATTTCGATCTACATGGCTCTCATCTTCGGACTCATGTATCTTCTGTTTACCACGTTCACGGACGTTTTTGAAAAGCAGTACGGGTTCACTACCGCAACTTCCGGGCTGGTCTATCTAGGCCTTGGCGTGTCGTTGGTCGGTTGTGTTTTTATTGCCAAACCCCTGGGAGATCGGGTGACAGCCGCGCGCATGAAGAAGGACGGCGTCACACAGCATCGACCTGAGTATCGTCTGTTGCTGATGATCTACTTCTGCCCCTGCGTTGCGATCGGTCTCTTGATCTATGGCTGGACGGCTTACTACAAGGTGCACTGGATATTGCCCATCATCGGTACTACGGTGATAGGGTTTGGCTCATTCTTTGTTATGGTAAGCAAGCTTTTCTTCAGATTACTAGGTAATCAATCACATTGCTTACTTTTGCAGATGCCTGCCCAGCTCTATCTAGTCGACCTCTTCGGATCGGCAGCGTCGACGTCAGCCTTGGCGGCCAACAACGTTTTACGGTTCATCTGCAGTACCTTTTTGCCGTTGGCCGGGCCGGCGATGTACCAGTCGCTGGGGTATGGGTGGGGCAATACCTTGCTGGGGTTTCTGGCGCTGGCCTTCCTTCCTGCGCCCGTGCTGTTTTACAAATACGGGGCGTGGATGCATGCCAAGACGGCTGCCGACTTCTGATGTTCTCTGATCCGCTCTTAGTAGACTATATGTATACCTTATTGCTATTAAGTGCCTTGATTCTCGGAGTGGAAAATGCAATGCTAGCTTGATAAGACCTAATCAGACAAGACTTGAAGTCCTTGGCTTCGGGCCATACGCGCAAGCGGGTAATTCCGCGTCACCTATGGAAGGGTGACCTGGTCCGTGACACTGTTGAGCAGGAGGCTGCGAAGGTGAAGGCGAAGGTTCAAGTGAGGGTGGAAGAAGAGGTGAAGAAGGATGAAGGGGAAGAGCAGGAATCGGAGACTAAGACCAGCCCGTTTCCAACCCTAACGATCAACAGCAGCTCGGGCATTCCCTTGTCCACCCACGCTGCTTCCAATCTCGAGTCGGTCGAGTATCTGGAGGGGGCCGAGAAAGACCTTGGCTTACGCATCAAAGAGTGCATTCGGGAGATTTCTTGCCTTCAGTCACTTTGTCGAGCATGTCTAGACATTTGATCGATCGTAGAATAGAAATTGATCTAATGTATACTTCGATTTACTCGTCCATATCATTCAGCCCTGCGGGGGTTGGCCTGCCGCAGCCGCCACAATCCAGTTTAGAGAGTGCCAAATTTGCTGCTTCTGTCCCGCTTTCCATCGGTATGTGATGATCGAGTACTATAAGAAAGTCTCATTAGGTATTATCACTAAAGTGGTTAATTCTTAGCAGGATCTTACCTGGCGTAGCTCGTTTAGCATAACAAGTTGAACTGTTCGCCATTGGTAATGGCCCCAAAACAGCCAATTTTCTTCTTTTCATCCTTTATCCGTGCACGATTAAGCGATCCTGCACTCGGGTTAGATACTGGACTTACTATCTTGAGGGGAGAAAACAAGACCGACCCATGTAACCAAGGAGCTGAGGGAGGCCGCTGCTCACCGTGCCCTTTCTCTTCGCCTTCACAATGGCCAGTTGGGTGGAGGGATCGTTCTGTTTGTTACACCAGATTGAATAGTCCGACGACCTCCCGGGCCGTGATCTTGACTTCCATTATGTAAAAATGATGGTCAAGAGTTGTTTCAAATCCTAGGCTCACTTCGCACGCCCGACGGTGTCTGCTGACTCGCTATTGGCGCATGACAGCACTCAAAGTTTGATCAATTCTGACCCTGGCCCAAGCCTCGTGTTTCCCTCAGCTTTCGATGTCTAGTGCAAGTTCTGAAGAAGTCGAAGGAGTAGGCGTTCCCTGCCCACGCGTTTATTTCTCTGCTGAGGGCAGTCGTCCGCCTCATACCCCTCATTGTCACTGGCTCTGTTTTGGACAAGAAAGCCGGCTTCATCGGGCTCTTTAGTGACTCTGTGAGATGGAAAACCCTTTGCTCGTTTTGAGAAGACATCTTGATAAACTTGATAGAGGTAGACTGAAAAGGAAAGGTTTGTTGACTTGGGGAGGAAATGGGTTCGTGGTTGTTGTTCTACTCCCTACGGTCATCAAGGGAGAAGTGTTGAGGAGTGAATGACATTGAGTCCTCAATTCTGAGTCCTCAATTCAAAGATTCAAGGAAGGAGCGGCCGCTATACTGCCGGGACTATGTGAATACTAGCGGAGTTGGGTGCTTATAATTTATAAATTAGTTAAGTAAGCAAGCTCTCTACATTCTTAATTTAGTGTATGTAGTGCGAATGGGGCAAGAGTCGTCTACATACATGATGGCTTCCAAAATTAGAACCTGTGTCTATACTTGTCCCTCAACAACCATTGACAACGACAGACGTGAAGCCAATGTTTCTGATCCCATACGCTTTCCTATCAACAAACCCTTTCTCTTCAAACTCTCTTGATTCGATCCATTGAAAGGACTATGACCCTTACTTCACTTTAAATGATGAACCTTTCCTTTTAAAATAATCCTGAGCAGATCTACCGAAGTATAACAAAGGGGTAAAAGCGGGGGGGGTGGTAAAAGAGTAAAAATTAACTTAGAATGGAAGTACTTTAACTGTACAGGCCCTGGGGGCCGGAGGGGATGGCGGCGGAGGAGGGGCGGTACGTAGAGGGGCGGTTACCGCTGCGGTTAGGATACTTAGTAAGAAAAATCCCAATTTGCCGAGTGGCCGCAATGGTCTTCCGTAGCATCCATGAGCAGGAGCGAATGGGTGGGTCGCAGCGCAGCAAAGAGCACTTGATATTACTTTATAATGCCGGGCGGTAAGACGAACTTAGGTACCTGGGACCTATTCTTAGCCGCCTTCCCCGACACTTGCACCCCTCAATCGACAAGCCGCATCGAAATCTGGCATTTCACAATACACAAACGCGATGTTCAGGACTATTGTGCGAGCCTTCGGTCCCCCAAAGGAGGTGGTCACCGGTGAAACCTGCGATCCACCACCTATCCCTGGGCCTGGGCAGGTATTGGTACGGATGCTGCTCGCCAGTATCAATCCCTCGGATCTGATTCCAATCACGGGTGCCTACCGTACGAGAACTTCGCTGCCCTTTGTCCCGGGATTCGAAGGAGTTGGTATGGTCGAGGCAGTCGGCGCCCATGTTTCTGAATTGAAGGTTGGCGACCGTGTATTGCCTCTGGGAAGCGCAGGCGCCTGGCAAGATTTCAAGCTCAGCGAAGAACAATGGTGCTTTCCAGTACCCGCCGATCTGACCGACCAGCAGGCTGCAATGGCCTATATCAATCCACTTACCGCCTGGATGATGACCAAGGAATATGCACCAGCTCCTCCAGCTACGGTGGTAGTCAATGCTGCCACTTCTGCTATCGGCCAGATGATCATTCGGATGCTCAATCGAGTCGGCGTGCGACCAATTGCGCTAACGAGGCGACCCGATGTTCTAGATCAATTGATGAATGGATCCGACGTAACAGCAGTGATCTGTCCACATGATGGGGATCTCAAACAAAGACTTTACAAGTTGACTGAGAGTCGAGGCCTTAATGTCGCATATGACGCTGTTGGTGGAAGTGAGGGTAATGATCTAGCTCGCTCACTCGCTCGTGGCGGCAGACTTATCCACTACGGGCTTTTGTCTGGCGTGCCCTTATCTCCTTCGCTGTACAGGGAATGTCCAGATGTCCAGATAGTTCTGTTTCGTTTGAGAGATTGGGTACATACCAGCGAGCGTCGTGTTATCCAGTCCGCTTTGGATGAGGTTTTCGATCTTGTCCGCGAGGGCATCGCAGAATCAAAGGTTGCACGAGTATTCCAACTTTCTTCGTTCAAAGAAGCTTTGGACTATGAGGCTACCCTTGCCCGGAATGGAAAAGTACTTCTATCGATGTCGCCAGATCTGACTCCTATGGATCCTTGATCCCGAATGGCAGTTTGCTCGAAACAATTTCAAACGATCTAGACGTTTCGTCCAGGGTTCGGATTACGATAGACAGAGCGCTTGAGTCTTCAAATATACTTCGCAGCGGCAGCGGCAGTCTGTTCCGTCTGTTCATAGCTTAACAGATTGAGGATATCGACTACCAGGGTCTCGGTACTGCAATATACTAGGTAGCTGGTAGTCTATTTGTCGGCCGGCAGGAATTCGGGATTATATTGGTCGGGAAGGTGATGTTATGAGCAGAGCATTTGCCTGAATTGATAACTAATCATTATCATATTCAAGGCACTGTACAACTGAACAGAAAAAGACCATTTTGGAGCTGGGGATCTCAGTAAGAGACGGGAAAAAAACATACAACAGAAGGGATTCGCTGGTGGTCACCCACCCAACTACTAACCTCCCGGCGTGTGGCTTAAGTACGGCTGAGCGGACGGGAAGCCCTGTTTTCCACACCCTGTGGTCGTACGTACCAGTTAATAGGCCTATACATACCTATATCTCTGATCTCTAAAACTCTGATTGTTGCAAGGGTTCGATCTATTCCATACAACAATCTCCCTTTGTTCCGTGCTTTTGATACTGCTACAACGAAAGTTGATGGAAAGCCAAGCATGCCCACGGAATTGTACCTCCATGCCAGGTCGCTTATAGCAGCGTGCGCAACAGCGAAGGGCCTGGAAATAACCGCGGTCTAGAAGAGAAGAAGCACTGAGCCTGTGATTATATAAAAGGGTACATACTAGCCCATGTAGCTTATAGACTTTCGACGAGGCTCACAGAGGTTCGATCTTTGATAATCGCAACAAGCATGTCTTTCTCTTGCTCTGCCTAATTTCCCCCCCGAGGTGTTGCGAATTTGTTTTCTGCCATCTGGAACAATTTGTATCCAGGTAGTATTTAGCCTAGTACTGCTTTGTTGTGTTCCCGAGTAATCTAGCCACGTGACCAGGCGATTCACCAAGCGAGTTGCTCACCTCAAGAACTTAGCTACTTTGGATCCTCGCTATAACATATCAATTGGGAAAGGCCGACCACTTCGTTATAACGAGGATTTCGTTGTAGCGAATATAGTTTTTTTGAGACCTGATCCTTGAAAAATTCCAAACACGTTATCTATAAAATCTTATCTTTCTAAATAGATATAAATCCTGACTTATTCAGGGATAACTCTTCTTCTATATAACGAATTTAGTATGGATGTTATGGGACCAAGGTCCTGTTATAGAGCTCGGCTTCAGGCACCAGTTGGCACCTGAGGCCTTGCATACTAAGTACTAAACTAGCACTAGCTTAGCGTATATATAAAAGAATTTCGTACGAACAGGTGAAATAGCTCCTCAGCTATTTCTTTTTATTTTAAGGCACATTTCGATTAGCACAATCCATCCGTCCTATAATATTAGAAATAGCTCTTTAAAAGTCCTAGACGGAGCCCGACTAGGCATATAAATAGAATAGAACAGAATAAAAAGGAATATTAGAATAATAAAATAAATAAATTAGAAAGGACTGCGGCCGACCGCAGTGTCTGCAGCTATATATAATAATATACAATTTCTCTTACAGAAGCTAATCAGCCTCTGTATAGAAATAGTAAAACAAAAATCAGCTTTTAAAAAGTAGATAAACAAATTATAGAGTTATAATATAACTTCTACTACTAACAGTAAATCAGAAGAAAAACCCCTACAGTAGCTATATAAGCTAAACTACAGATCCTATTTCTAATATTCTAATATAAAACTGTTTAATAGGAAAGACAAGCACAACTACAAACTATTTAAACTAAATATATATATAAAACTTATAATAGATGGAAATTACTATTCTATCAGACTGGAACAAGTTTTCTATATCTACAGTAGACTATACAAACAGGCAGTATAAAAAATTCTTCCTTAAATTAAATTTTAAAATATAGAAATAGTATAACTAAAGGATATATTTATAATAATAGATAAAGTATTTAAAAACCCTAATATACAGTAAAAAGCCCTAAACCAGGTTAATATAATAAAGTAAGAAAGAATAGAATTAAAAAAATTTTTAAATAACTTTAACAAAGCCCTACTATAGGCTGGAGGATATAATTAGTTGGATAAACAGAAAAAAACCATACTAAATACTACAGTAAACTAAAGGCTTATTAAAAGATTAGTTAAAATTCTTTAAAAGCCTATATATAAAAAATATTACAACTAACTGCACTGTATAAACTATAATCTTAACAGAGTATTTTTTTTTTAAAAAAAGCTATACTAAAACCGTGCCGGCGCAATATAAACTAAGTCTTAAACTAATAAAGTAAAAATCTACTTAAATAGCTGCTATATAGTAAGAAAAATACTACTTCTACTTAACAACCAACAATCCCCAGAAATAGGCTTAATAGGTAATATCTAGTAAAATATAAAAAAAATATAAAAAAGATTACTGCCTTTATTGCAGGTAAAATAGATATTTTATCTGCTAATATTTTCTAAAACCTGCTATACAACTAATAAGTATAGCTGCAGCTATATCTATCTTTTAGTAATAAAAAAAATAGTATCCCTTATCAGACAAAAACTCCAACTTAGGAAAAAAAAAATCTAATATAAAATTATATACCTAAATAAGAATTACTAGATAAAACTAAAAGAAAATAAAAAAGTTTTAAAAAAAAATATATAATTATACGCCTTTTTTTAGTAAAGGCTATTTTAGATCTTACTATAACTGCCTATACTCTTATTAATTTAAAATATCTAATCTATAGTATTATAAGTAAAATATTTACTAAAGCAAATAGCCTGTTAACTATTAGTATTAATCTAAGGCTGGTATAAAAAATTTTAGGTAATAAAGTACTAATCTACTCTATTATACAGATAAGAATAGATATAGGATTCTATACTAAGAAAAAAGCATACTTTTATATAATATCTAATAATCTTAGATATAACCTGATTTTAGGGAAGAGCTGGCTGTTCTGTTATAATAGTATTCTAAAACCAAGCTAAAAATAATTATTTCTATATACAACTAAAATAAGATTAAGGGACCTACTATATTTATAATATATAAATCTAAAACTTCAGCCAATTACAAAAACAGGATTTAGAGACTATTTGTAGAAAAAATCTAAAAGAAGTATAAAAGTATTTATAGTCTTATTTACTAATATTTAGAAAGTATTTTAAACTAAGAAGGCAGTTGATCTATATATAATACTTTTTAAATACTATTAAAACTTTCTGCCTTTTTTCTAATCAGAGAATGTAGAGAAACTACTGCTATATTAGAAAAAGAGTATCAACCACAAAATCAAGCTTATATATCAGAATAGAAAAAAGCCAGAAGTTCTATAGGGCCCTTTTTATAATATATCCTAGAAAGAACTAACAGTCCTACAGTCTAAACTAACTAAACTACTAAAAAAAAACTTTATATAAGTTAGTTACTTTTTAGCAGCAGCCTCAGTACTCTTTGTATAAAAGCCAAAAAAAGAATTAAGATTCTATATTGTTATGGGACCAAGGCCCTGTTATAGAGCTCGGCTTCAGGCACCAGTTGGCACCTAAGGCCTTACACGCTAAGTACTAAACTAGCACTAGCTTAGCACACATATAAAAGAATTTTGTACAAACAGATAAAATAGCTTTTTAGCTATTTTTTCTTATTCTAAGGCACGTTTTAATTAGTACAATCCATCTGTTGTGTAATATTAGAAATAGCTTATTAAAAAGTCCTAGACAGAGCCCGACTAGACATATAAATAAAATAAAACAGAATAAAAAGAAATATTAGAATAATAGAATAAATAGACTAGGAAGGACTGCAGCCGACCGCAGTGTCTGCAGCTATATATAATAATATATAACTTTTTCTATAGAAGCTAATCAGCCTCCGTACAGAAATAGTAAAACAGAAATCAGCTTTTAAAAAGCAGATAAATAAACTATAGTATTATAATATAATTCCTACTACTAATAGTAAACCAGAGGGAAACCCCCTACAGCAACTATATAAGCCAAATTACAGATCCTGCTTTTAATATCCTAATATAAAACTATTTAACAGAAAAGATAAGTATAACTATAAACTATTTAAACTAAATATATATATAAAACTTATAATAAATAGAAGTTGCTACCCTACTAAACTGGAATAAGTTTTTTATATTTATAGTAGACTATATAGACAGACAGTACAACAGATTCTTTTTTAAATTAAATTCTAAAATATAGAAATAGTATAACTAGAGGATATGCTCGCAGTAATAAATAAAATATTTAAAAACCTTAATATATAATAAAAAGCCCTAAACCGGGTTAATATAATAAAATAAGAAAGAATAGAATTAAAAGAATTTTTAAATAATTTTAATAAAACCCTACTACAGGCCGGAGGATATAATTAGTTGGATAAATAAAAAAAAACTATACTAAATACTGCAGTAAACTAAAGGTTTATTAAAAGATTAGTTAGAATTTTTTAAAAGCCTATATATAAAAAATACTACAACTAACTGCACCGCATGAACTATAATCTTAATAAAATATTTTTTTTTTTAAAAAAAGCTATACTAAAACTGTGCTGGTGTGATACAAACTAAGTCTTAAACTAATAAAGTAGAAGCCTATTTAAATAGCTGCTGTATAGTAAAAAAAATAATACTTCTACTTAACAACTAATAATCTTTAGAAATAGGCTTAATAGGTAATATCTAGTAAAATATAAAAAAATATAAAGTAGATTACTGCCTTTATTATAGGTAAAATAGATATTTTATCTATTAATATTTTTTAAAATCTGCTGTACAACTAATAAGTATAGCTGCAGCTATACCTATCTTTTAGTAATAAAAAAAACAGTATACCTTATCGGACAAAAATACCAACTTAGGAAAAAAAAAAGTCTAGTATAAAATTATATACCTAGATAAGAATTACTAAATAAAACTAAAAGAAAATAGAAAAGTTTTAAAAAGAAATGTATAGTTATATACTTTTTTTTAGTAGAGGCTATTTTAGATCTTACTGTAACTGCCTGTACTTTTATTAACTTAAAATATCTAATCTATAGTATTATAAGTAAAATATTTGCTAAAGTAAATAGCCTGTTAACTATTAGTATTAATCTAAAACTGGTATAAGAAATTTTAGATAATAAAATACTAATCCACTCTATTATACAGATAAAAATAAATATAGAATCCTATACTAAAAAAGAAGTATACTTTTATATAATATCTAATAATCTTAAATATAATCTAATCCTAGGAAAGAGCTGGCTTTTCTGTTATAATAATATTCTAAAACCAGGCTAAGAATAATTATTTTTATATATAACTAAAATAAGACTAAGAGACCTACTATATTTATAATATACAAATCTAAGACTTCAGCTAATTATAAGAATAGGATTTAAAAACTATCTGTAAAAAAGATTTAAAAAAAGTATAAAAGTATTTATAGTTTTACTTACTAATATTTAAAAAGTACTTTAAACTAAAAAGGTAGTTAATCTATATATAATACTTGTTAAATATTATTAGAACTTTCTGCCTCTTTTCCAACCAGAGAATGCAGAGAAACTACTATTATACTGGAAAAAGAATATTAACTATAAAATTAAGCTTATATACTAAAATAGAAAAAAGCCAGAAGTTTTATAGGGTTTTTTTTATAATATATTTTAGAAAGAACTAATAGTTTTACAGTCCGAACTAATTAAACTACTAGAAAAGAACTTTATATAAGTCAGTTACTTTTTAGCAGCAGTCCCAGTGCTTTTTATATAAAAGCTAGAAAAAGAATTAAAATTCTATATAAATTACTAAATACTTAATATAATTATAAAAAAGAACTGCTATCTGCTTCCCCTAATTTATAAGACTTTAAACCAAATTAGAAAAGTAAAATAGTTTACTAAACTAGATGTTTTATCCGCCTTTTATAAAATCTGTATTATAAAAGGTTAAAAATAAATAACAGCCTTTTATATATAGTATAGGCTATATAAATAGCTAGTAATACTTTTTAGACTAGTAAATACCCTAAGTATCTTTTAAAAGTATATTAACTGGGCATTATATAAATACTTTAATAAATTCTATTCAGCCTATATTAATAATATATTAATCTATATAGATAAAGATATTAAAAAGCACTGTAAATATATATAAAAAGTATTACAGAAACTAAAGAAAGCCGGCTTGTTTTTAGATATTAAAAAGTATAAGTTTAAAAAAAAGAAAACTCTCTATTTTAGATTTATTGTATATACAGGGTAAGGTATTAAAATAGATTCTAAAAAGATTAAAACAATTATCTTATAAAAGAGCTTTAAGTTAGTAAAAGCTGTCTAAAGCTTTTTAGAATTTATAAACTTTTACTGTAAATTTATTTCTAGATTTTTAGCCACTGTACAACTACTTATAAATCTAATTAAGAAAGATCAGCTCTTTTAATAGACCTAAAAGTGCGAGACCAGCTTTCGGATATTAAAGAAAAAGTTTATAACTAAGCCTGTTCTCTGTTTTTTTAATTCTAAATATATAATAGTAGTAGAGACAGACTTTTTAGGCTATAATACAGAAGAAACACTTTTTTAAATAGATAAAAATAAAAAGCTATATTCTTATATCTACTTTTCTAAACAGAATATACTAGCTAAGTATAACTATAAGATCTATAATAAAAAACTACTAGTAGTTGTATAGTATCTAAAAGCTTAGAATGCTAAGTTATACTTAATACTAAAGTTTATAGTAATTATTAATTATAAGAATTTAAAATACTTTTTTAAGCCGTGCAAACTTATAGAAAGATATATATAATAAAGCTTGATTTTAAGCAGATTTAATTTTAAACTAGTTTATTAAAAAGAAACAGAGAATAAGC